TATTAACTGAGCTCATTTTAAACTTGTATCTAACAAAGACACAATTAATTTCTTAAGAGCAATTCAAGATATCTTGTTGGATATCTTGATGCCTGCAAATTTAACAAAATGACCTTTTCCTTTTAGCTTGGAGATGTGTTATTGCTTGCATCATTTTGTTCATTGTATTCTTTGCATTTTCTCAGCACAGACTTTGAGAACACCTTACATTTTATAAATTGGGCACCCTGTATATAGTTCTTACTGGAGCTTTGCTGTTGCTGAGACAGGATCTAGCTGTTACTCAGGTTGGAGTGCAGTGGCACAATCATTGCTCACCTCAGCCTTGACTTCCAGGGCTCAAATGACCCTCCTATCTCAGCCTCCCAAGTAGCTGGGACCACAGGCGCACATTACCATGCCTAGCTAATTTTTAAATTTTTGTAGAAATGGGGTCTCTCTCTGTTGCCCTGGCTGGTCTCAAACTCCTGGGTTCTCTTGTCTCAGCTTCCCAAAGTGCTGGGATTAGAGGCATGAGCCACCATGTCCAGCCTTACTACAGTATTTACTGTATGTTTTATAGCCCTCTTGAGATCTACAATTTCAATTCCTCCTATTTAAAAAAATCTCTCCAGATTATTAATTGCTTTAGAATCTTGTCTTCTCCTTTATTATTTACAGATTTCCCTGAGTGAATTCTAATACTTTCTGTAAGTTATTGCCCTTACAGCACTGAATCTGCATCTTCATTATGTCCTGACAGCCTCTTGTCCCTGTCATCACAATTTGATCTCTGCCTTGAACTCAGACAGTATCTAAAAGTTCATAGTTTAGGATTCATAGATCAAACTATACTCTTTCTGCATTGTTAAGGTTTGAGAATATGTCTTTGAAATCAGTTTTTCCTATTGATTTTCTTATTGATTCTGAAGGTTGTACTACAGTGTGGTGGTGTAGAGCAGGGGTCCCCAACCCCTGGGCCATGGACCCGTACTGGCCTGTGGCCTCTTAGGAACTGGGCAGCACAGCAGGTGAATGGTAGTGATTCAGCATTATGGCTTGAGCTCCGCCGCCTGTTAGATCATCAGCATCAGATTCTCAGAAGAGAATCTAGCCCTATTGTGAACTGTGCCTAAGAGGGATCTAGGTTGCAAACCCTATTGTGCCAGCCCTATTGTGAACCATACCTGGGAGGGATTTAAGTAGCACACTCCTCATGAGATTATAACTAATGCCTAATGATCTAAGGTGGCACAATTTCATCCTAAAACCATCTCCCTGCCCACTTCTTGCCTCCTGGTCTGTGAAAGTTGTCTTCCACAAAAACCTGTCACTGGTGCCAAAAAGGTTGGGAAGTGCTGGTGTATGTGGATTAAGAACTCTCACTTTAGAACCAGACTTCCTGGGTTCAAATTCTTACTCTACCATATATTAGCTGTGTGACCTTAGGTAAGTTGCTTAACACTTTTGTGCCTTATATTCCCCATCTATAAAACAGGGTAATAATAGGCTGAATTGTACCCCCTCCCCGCACACAAAAATTCATATATCAAAGTCCTACTAGCTAGTAATTCAGACTGTTACCTTGTTTGGAAATAGGACCATTGCAGATATAGTTTGTTAAATTAAAATGTCCTACTGGAGTTGGGTATGTCCCTACTCTAGTGTGAGTTGTGTCCCTATAAAAAGGTAAATTTGGACATAGACACCTGTCTGCAGGGAGAACACTACATGAGGGTAAAGACGGAGATGTACAAGGCAAAGAATGCCAAAGATTGTCAGCAAAGCCTGAGAGGGTAGGAATGAGCCTGGAAGAGATTTTCCCTCACAGCGCTTAGAAGGAACCAACCCCACTGACATCTTGGTCTTGGACTTCCAGCTGCCTTGAAGTGGGTCACACTATCTCCAGCTGTAAGACAAATGCCTGTTGTCCAAGCCACCCAGTCTGTAGTGCTTTGTTACAGTAGCCTGAGCAAACAAACGACATCCACCAAATCAGGGTATCTGAGGATTCAATATGTCATTATGGGTAATAGTATTTGACATTGAGCAAACACTAATAAATATTCACTAATTTACTTATCAGAAAGTGCTAGCCATGTGCCACATGGATTTCTAAATGCCCAGCTCTTCTTTGGCTGTATGTATAGTGTGTGTGATTTCAGAGGTGCTTCCAGGCCCTACCCACCTGCAAAATGCAAGTTCCTTCATTTTTCTTGCATAAGTCCTTGTCCCAAGTTGATAATAGTACTGATGGTAGAGTCATAGCGATAACAACCACTGAATAACCATTTCCTGCAAGGAAGGTGCTGTGTGCTCAGTGCCTAATGTACATTATCTTCTCTACCTTCCCACTGCCATGTTACTGTTGTCCACTGTTGATTATCAGCTCCACAGGCTGTGTTTTATTCACCTCAAGCTGCATCACTACCCTCCTTTCACCACCTCTGCCTTCTCATTGTCTGTCTGGGTCTCTTAGCTTCCCTCCAACCCAGGGGAGGGAATGTCTCAGGCCTGACATTCCATCTGTTCTCCTTCCTGGAACTCAGAGGGAGCCAGGAGAAGCGGGTGGCATCCCTAGTCTCCCCAGTACTGAGGAAGAATGGGGCTCTTCCCATTTTACCCCTTCCTTTCTCCCCTGCCTCCAGAAATGGGCCACTTCTGCATGGGGCAGTGGGTCCCAGTTCGGCTCACACTGAGAATGTAAGAACTACAAACAAAATGTCTGTTAAAGTTTGTGTCTCAAAACAAGAGAAGGGGAACAAGGAACTCCTTTCCCTACATATGCTGGTAACCATGAGACTGTGAGGGTGTACTCAGGCTTTTTTCCTTTATTGTGCTTATCCATGGCTGCATAACAGATCACCCAAACACTCAGTGGCTTGAAGGTGACCATTTCATTTCTCACCATTTCTGTGTGTCATGAATTTTGGACGGGCTTGACTAGGCAGTGCTAGCTTAGCATCTTTCAGTGCAGTTGTAGTCAGATGGTGATAGGTGTTGGAGCAGCTGTGGACTGGCCCACCGTCTGGTTTTCCTCCTGAAATCTTGAGCCTCCCCATTATGGTCACTCTATATGAGTTGGTTTGGGCTTCCTCACGACATGGCTGCCTCAGGATAGCTGGACTGCTTACTTGATGGTTCAGGGCTCAGACACAAGATAGGAGCCACAATACACTTTATGATTTAACCTTGAAAGTCACAAAAGGTCACTTCTGCTGCATTTTATTGGTTACATAAGAGTCAGAAACTCACCAAGTTTCAAGGGAAGGCCAGTTGAAGCCAACCTTCGATGAGGGAGTGGCAAGATCAGAAATGTATCGAAACTGACATTGTGTGGCCTTCTTTGAAAAATATATTTTTGTACATCCCTAGACACTCTGTTTATTTGCACAAACTGTTTATGTAAATAAAGCTGCATGACACTGTCATCAGCCTACACATACCTAGTAAACATTGACTTCGTCCAGGTTGTATGCTAGGCCTGAGACTTCAAAGTGAAAAGTCCTTATCTGAGACCTTAAGGAGTTAGGGACTTGTTAGGGGAAACAGATATATAGACAACAAGTTATAGTATCATTTAATCAGTAAATGGGGTATAGGGTACAGTGGTGAATGGAGGAATGAATACATTGAGTAAGTATTTACTGAAATAAGTACCTCTTTTTCTTCATGTGAGACACCCTGGGGTGACAAGCTCTGGGGATCCAGGGAAAATGAAAAAAAGACACTGCCCCTGAGCTCCTTGAACCTACTGTCCAGGAAGGAACGAGGAACTCTAACCGCCGGCATCAAGGCGGGGCTGAATTCTCACCTGAGTATCATGCTACAAAATCGAGGCTATCAATGTGGAAATTTTACTGTTAATATTTTAAAACATATAGTAATGGTAGATTTGAAAAGAACTTTAACGGCTTCCTTGGGAAAATGGAAATGAGCACTTTGTGCATTACATTTTTAGACTTTCATTTGCCGGCATAACACCAAGAATTCAAGTGAGAGGTTATGAAATGAATAGATAGAAGAGTATTGCTGGTGAGAGAAATTTACTGCTCCTTATGGTACAATATCGATGCAGATTGAGTATCGCTTATCTGAAATGCTTGGGACCAAAAGTGTTTGGGATTTTGAATTTTTTTGGATTTTGGGATACTAGCATTGTACCAGTTAAGCATCCCAAATCCAAAAAAATCCAAAATGCTCCAATGAGCATTTCCTTTGAGTATCATGTTGGCATTCAAATGTTTCAGATTTGGGGGCACTTCAGATTTAAAATTTTCAGGTTCAGGATACACGACCTGTGAATGCAACCTTGTCTTTTTCTCCTGCTAAATCAAATCATCTCAATACTAGAACATATATCTTATCATAATTGCCTTTTTCTGAATTTCATAATTAACACATATATGTTGAAGGCTTCAAACTTTCAGTCTGCAACCAATGTTAAATCCAACATGAACTTTCATTCCATTTGCTCACTTGACAAAGGGGCTTACAATCCTGCTTGGAGAGATAGGTCCATACATCACTGAAAACTTAACTAAAAAATGCTAATGTGTTTACCATTAGGGCTGGATTGGGTATACAGAAGATCTCATGTCAAGATGAAGTCATTCTACTTTAGAGAAAGCTCCAGTCAGGGCCGGGCGCGGTAGCTCAAGCCTGTAATCCCAGCACTTTGGGAGGCCGAGGCGGGTGGATCACAAGGTCAAGAGATCAAGACCATCCAGGTCAACATGGTGAAACCCCATCTCTACTAAAAATACACAAAATTAGCTGGGCATAGTGGCATGTGCCTGTAATCCCAGCTACTCAGGAGGCTGAGGCAGGAGAATTGCCTGAACCCAGGAGGCGGAGGTTGCAGTGAGCCGAGATCGTGCCATTGTACTCCAGCCTGGGTAACAAGAGTGAAAACTCCGTTTCAAAAAAAAAAAAAAAAAAAAAAAAAGAAAGCTCCAGTCAGGTTGGTGTGATTGGAACAGACAGATTGATGTTCAATGCTCTGCTCCACTGTCTTGTAGGTTCTTCATTCCTTTACTGATGCCATCTTTGATGAGTGGATGAAAAGATTCAATCCTCCTACAGATGCCTGGCCTCAGGAGCTGGCACCTATTGGTCACAATCGGATGTACAACATGGTTCCTTTCTTCCCTCCAGTGACTAATGAGGATCTCTTTCTAACCGCAGAGCAACTTGGCTACAGCTATGCCATTGAGCTGCCAGGTAACTAACACAACTTTTAAATGGGCGATTCAGCCTTCTTCTTCTTCTTTTTTTTTTCGCTCTTGTTACCAGGCTGGAGTGCAATGGCGCGATCTCGGCTCACCGCAACCTCCGCCTCCTGGGTTCAGGCAATTCTCCTGCCTCAGCCTCCTGAGTAACTGGGATTACAGGCACGTGCCACCATGCCCAGCTAAGTTTTTGTATTTTTAGTAGAGATGGGGTTTCACCATGTTGACCTGGATGGTCTCGATCTCTTGACCTTGTGATCCACCCGCCTCGGCTTTCCAAAGTGCTGGGATTACAGGCTTGAACCACTGCACCCCGCCTGATTCATCCATCTTCTAAAGGAGCTACATTCCTTTCTTTTTAATGTAAACAATGACCTTTAACTGAAGCTTTCAGGCCTAGTTAAGTTTGTTGACCATTTTTCTAGCATATATGTATTTAGCCAAACAAGTCTTTAAACTACCAATTAAACATTGGAGGCCAGGCACGGTGGCTCACACCTGTAGTCCCAGCACTTTGGGAGTCTGAGGTGGGCACATCACCTGAGGTCAGGAGTTTGAGACCAGCCTAAGCAACATGGAGAAACCCCGTATCTACTAAAAATACAGGCATGGTGGCACATGCCTGTAGTCCCAGCTACTTGGGAGGCTGAGACAGGAGAATCTCTTGAATGCAGGAGGTGGAGGTTGTGGTGAGCCGAGATCACACCATTACACTCCAGTGTGGGCAACAAGAGCAAAACTCCATCTAAAAAAAAAAAATCAGAAAGGGACTAATGAGCTGACTCTTGTTTTAGAAAACTGAAAGTTTTTAATAGGGTTTATTGCACAGAGGAATTATATACTCTTATACCTGACTTGATAATTCTCTCTGAATTAATTGGATTAACAAAAAACCACCCTATGGTTGTTTGAAATTTCTAACCAATGAAGTAAAAATGGAACTAGCCACATTGTATAGAAACTAGCTGGATTTAGAGATTATTTCTTGAGGGCAGCACTGGGACTGGGGTGAGGAAAGTACATTTGCCTTGAGGACAAAATTCAAGGGGAGGCCAGAAAACTCAGTAATCAAGGTAAGTAATAATGTAATATAATATTTTAGAAAATCAAAATTAATGCAAAAATTAACAATGAATACTAATACACCATCAAAATTTTAAATAAAGGCAGACTTTCATTTGTTTTGCACGCCCACATCATCTTCTAAGAGAATCAGTCATTTCCAGTTTAGCCTATACCACCCCTGATGGACAGGTTTGTGAAGGTTGTCCTTGATTGGCCTACCAGCAGATTGGTCTACATGGGACTCTGTGTATGTTTCATTAGTTACTGTTCTTAAAGTCATGTTTTAAGGTTGTGGATTTTTTTTATTAACTTTTCCCACTTGGTTCAACATATAGGAGGATATTTTGATAAGTATATACAGGGCACATATTTTTCTTTTTGGTCCAGGCCCCAATATGGCTCCACAATGCCATTTAAAGAATCTTAGGAGCCTGGCAACATACTGAGATCTGTCTCTACTAAAATTCAAATAACATTAGCCAGGCATGGTGGTCCATGCCTGTAATTTCAGCTACTCAGGAGGTTGAGGTGAGAGAATCACTTGAGTCCAGGATGTAGAGGCTACAGTGATCCCTGTTTGTGCCACTGCACTCCAGTCTGGGCAACAGAGAGAGACCCTGTTTCAAAAAATAATAATAATTAAAACAAACTTAATTAATCAAGAAGCTGAAAACCACACAGCCTATCTACCCAAAGCCTCAGCCTAAAAAGCAATCAAGATGATTTTAGAGCTCAATCTCTCTCTCTCTCTCTGACCTGAGTCTTTCAAGACTGGATGTAGTGGGATGCTGGAACAGAGGATGACCTCGAATTAAGAGCCTAGGTACAGAGGGCCTTAGATGCCAGGTAGAAACCCCAATAAGATACCACCTCACACCCACTGGAATGACTACTATCAAAAAAATAGAAAGTAACAAGTGTTGCTGAGGTTGTAGAGAAGTTGAAATCCTTGTGCATTGCTGGTGAGAATGTAAGATGGTGCAGCCACTATGGAAAACAGTATGGGGATTCTTAAAAACAAATTGAACAAAGAATTACCATATGACCCAGCAATTACACTTCCGGGTATACCTAAAAGAACTGAAAGCAAGGTCCAGAAGAAATATTTGCACACCCACGTTCATAGCAGCATTATTCACAATAGCCAAAAGGTAGAAGCAACCTTTTGTGGCATATACATACAATGGAATATTATTCAGTCTCAAAAAGGAAGGAAATTCTGATACATGCCACAACATGGATGAATCTTGAGGACATTAAGCTAAGTTTAATAAGCCAGATATAAAAGGACAAATATTGCATGGCTCCACTTATATGAGACTATGAGATAATCAAATTTACAGAGGCAGAAGATGGATGGTTACCAGGGGTTGGGAGGGGAGAATAGGGAGTTACTGTTTGGTGGGCACAACATATCAGTTTTGCAAGATGAAAAAACTCTGGGAATGGATGTTGGTGTGATGGTCGCACAATAATGTGAATGTACTTAATGCTACTGCACTGCATATTTAAAAATGGTCAAGGTGGCCAAATTTATGTTACATGTATGTTACTGCAATTACTAAAACATAAATTTTTAAACAGCTAGGCAGAGGGCTGGGCACAGTGGCTCATGCCTGTAATCCCAGAATTTTGGGATGCTGAGGAGGATGGATTATAAGGTCAAGAGATTGGGACTATTCTGGCCAACGTGGTGAAACCCCATCTCTGCTAAAGATACAGAGATTAGCTGGGCATGGTGGCACACGCCTGTGGTCCCAGCTCCTCAGGAGGCTGAGGCAGGAGAATTGCTTGAGCCTGGGTGGCAGAGGTTGCAGTGAGCCGAGATCGTGCCACCGCACTCCAGCCTGGTGACAGAGTGAGACTCTGTCTCAAAAAAAAAAAAAATTTAGGCAGAGGATTTGGACAATAGCAAAAGGCAATGATTTTTTGGGTCTTGAACAAATAAATGGCAGAACAAAAATATCTGTGTTTAAAGAAGATGAAGTTGACAATAGGTGCTGCTGGATTGAAGCAGGAGGAGAAAGATTGAAATCCTCTTGGAGGAATCCCATCAGGTCAGGTCAGGATGTCCTGTGGGACTGGAGAAAAAGGACTAGAAAGAGAATCTTATATTTAGGTGAGTGTAAGGTATAGAACAAATTCAGAGGAGCTGAATTTAAGAGCAGTTGGCCAAAGAGAAGAGAATTTTTAAAGAAATGACAAACAGGCATACATATACTAAACATGAAATTCAGCCAGGTGTGGTGGCTCACACCTGTAATCCCAGCACTTTGGGAGGCCAAGGTAGGTGGATCACCTGTGTTTAGGAGTTTGAGACCAGCCTGGCCAATGTGGTGAAACCTTGTCTCTACTAAAAGTACAAAAATTAGCTGGGCATAGTAGCAGGTGCCTGTAGTCCCAGATACTCAGGAGGCTGAAGCAGAAGAATCGCTTGAACCCAGGAGGTGGAGGGTTGCAGTGAGCCGAGATCGCACCACTGCATTCCAGCCTGGGCGACAGAGCGAAACCCTATCTCAAAAAACAAAACAAAACAAAAAACAACAACAAATGAACTTCACTAATTTTGTGGAAGAGTGCTTATAAAATATATTTGAGTAGATTGGATTTATCATGTGGGAGATTTAGATTTTGTTCACAGCTATTTGAATGGGTATAAATATCACCTGCATCGGGTATCGAACGTCTCCTGTTGTAATAACCAGTCGGATCCCTCTCACAGGTTTATCATCCTATAAAAAAGCTAGAGACAATAGCAGAATTTCTCCACCGGAGGGCTGTATATTTTGCAGTTCCCCAGATGCCATTTTAGCATGCACTTTTACAAATGAGTTTCTAACTCACAAAAGTAGTTACATTCTTCCTTAGAGGGTTTCTTCTGCATAAGCATTTATTGTAACAAATTTTAAAAATGCAATAAGCTGTATTTAAGTAATGGGATGCCATTTCCGACTTCCCCAAGAAAAACAATTGTGGATATGATAAATGGTGAGAAAGGAGAAGATGAATTTTAGTCTAGCAAGAGGAGTTTTGCTTTATCAACAAAAAAGCATGAGAAAGGCAAATGTGCTTACTCCTTTTCTCTTCTGAAAGTATTCAGCTGATGTAGACCCTTCTCTTCTGCTTTAGTTTCAGTTGAAGAAACTCCAGGTTGGCCCACAACCCTCTCAGTGGTCATGGGAACGCTGGTGGCTTTGGTTGGTCTTTTTGTGCTGCTGGCTTTTCTTCAATATAGAAGACTTCGAAAAGGATATACACCCCTAATGGAGACACACTTAAGCAGCAAGAGATACACAGAAGAAGCCTAGGGTGCTCTCATCCCTTACCCAAGAGAAGAGGCTGGCCAAGCCATAGTTGTGACCCTGACAATAAAGGAATGAATCCTCACTGTTCCTTTTTGAGTTGAAGATCTCTGACATAAGTTCTTCTGCAGTGAAAATGACCTCATTCAGAAGATGCTTAGCTATAGTTTCCACTTTGCTTGTTTGTTTAACAAACCCAAACTAAAGTGCTTGGTGCTACCTCTATCTTCAAACAAAAATAGACCTGAAAATTTGTGGTATCTGATAATAATCCCGTACATTGATTAAGCCTCCTCCTGTTCTGAAAGCATTTTAAAAGACAAACAAAAAATCCCCAAATATCGATCCAGGGAAGTCATTTACATTTGCAGGTCAGTGCAATTTGAGACCTGGCCAAGACCATGCATCAATCTTTCTTAGCCCCAGTGTCTTTATTGGTGATGGCATGAAGGTGGGAGGTGGGAGGTGTTAGATGAATCTCCAGGATCTCTTTTAATTATAAACATATCTGCTTCTAGGCACCCTCCTGATTATCTTCCTTGGGCTTCTTTTTCTTCTTTTCTCTATCTTTTCCTTTCCAGCTTAGAAGATGAGAATTAGCCTTGTTTTCTATATAGTATGAAGAATGACTAAATGAAGGATTAACTCTGCTCTATGGTGTAAATTTGATTTTACGGATTTTACTTAAAATCTGCAGTTTTAAACGGTAGACCTATATTACAGGATTCAATAGCTGGATACACATCGATGCTATAGTGATAAATAGAGAAGATAATAAAATTACAGAGCTTCCTAGTGACTTGATATACTACTCTAAACCTATTAACAAATATAGAATTACTTTTTTCAAGGAAGACTGACTGAAGGCTGGCAAGGTTATCAACCTGAACATGAGACAATCTGACTTGAGTTCCATTACTCTGAGGTCTCTTCAGCTAATTCTGAACCAATTTCTTCGCTAGGTAGCCTCAGATGAAAAATTCTTCCTACATAATGCACTTGGCATATTTTTAAGCACTGGTATTAGATTCATTAATGCTGCAGTATACTCACAGTTACTTGTGAATGCTGATTAATTGAGTCTTATCATTTGAAAGCAAACCATCTGTACAAAACATAACAATTCAGAATTCAGTGGTTATGTTCTGCTCTACAATCATCAGATCATGAGAAATAAGAATGAGGCAATCTTTACTACAATGTTCAGACATCATGATGGGCCCCACTTCAGAGAAGTTAATGGCTCTTAAGATTTTCAGACAAATTTCATATGCCCATAGCTGGTATCTGTGCATCAGGAGTGAGACTGAAGTTCTAGGGCGTGGTTTGTCTGTTGGGGCCTCTCTCTACTGGAATGAATGTCCATAAAGAATGGGTGTTAAGAGGGCCCTGGAGCTGCCTTCTACATAAGGGAGGCCCAGAGGTCGCAAGATTCACCAAGAACCAGTTTACCCCTGCAACAGGACTGCTAAAGCCAGAGAAATGGACAAAGCCCAGTTGGAACTGAATTTGAGTTTGAATCTTATAAAGTTACAGGTGCATCTGAGAGCAAGCACAGTGGTGAAGATCAAGCTAGCCCGGAGTCCTTCTTGGGGGTAAAGACCTGCTTGGGCTTTTTAGCCACAGCCATACGCATACCTCCCAATTATTGTCATTAACAATATTCATGGAAAATACAGCACTGTATCTTTCACATGCTGCATTCTGGAAGGTTTATGTTCTGAGCTCAGGATAGTTGGGGAACACATTTTAAAATCTTGCTTTTAAACCAAAAAAGAAATATTTTAAAATGAAGATATAATTGTGCATGGTACATATGTTCCTGCAAAGTGATGTGTAAATCAATTATATGTTAAAAGCACCAGGGGAAATTAATTTTTATAGGTGAACTATTATGAATAATTATATAAAGCAAATAACCACCTCTAGCTTATCTTTCAGGTATGTCAGAATTCTCATATATCATATTCTCATAAGATTTGGTTAAAGCAAGATCTCTCTTAGGTAGAAAAAAATAGTAATCAATTATACTTAGTTACTTTTATCTATAGTGTGGGCAACTTTTTACTATTGTGTTTCATAATGTCTTCCTAAGAGAAATAATTTCCTAATTTTGTAGTTCATGTAAGACGAATACAATTTTCTAGCATTTTCTGACCTTTCAATAAATTAATTAGGAATGCATTTTAACAAATATTAAGGTAGGGTAAACCAACAGAATAAAAAGTTGGTATTTACATTGAATATAATGCAAATAAACTCAGAAAATGTCACCAAATACTTTGGGCTATATTTCTCAATGATGGGGGAAGAATTCAACCTTGAAGAAAATGAACAGATTGCTTTATGCTCACATCTTCAGTATTAGAAAAACTGCATGTATGATTTTAATAGATATGCTTTTTATAAAGCTAACATTCAGAAATGGGATAAAATGCAATAACATCTTTCCTTTGTGCATTAAATTTCCTTCTAATCCTAAAATTCTTAGATGTTAATTTGTGCATTAAATTCCCTTCTAATTCTAAAATTCTTTGATATTGTATCTTGCTTAGGATTTAACATTGTTAATTATAATACTTTTAATGATTAGTTTTAATCTCATGTTATTAAGAAGTAGAAAACTTATTAAAAAGGAAAGTAAAAATAAATGATGTTTTGCAGATTATTGTTTATCTTTTGAGGGTTATTGTTTTTTAATTTGTGTGCATCAATTCCCATCTTTTGGGCACTCAATGTGTATATTAAAATATATATACATGTAAAACACATAATAACAACCTCGATCTGAAAAATAATCTCTTAAACTGACATGCTATTTTCTGCTGAGTTTCCAAACAATTGCTATTTTCTGAATCTGTATTGAACAGGTAGAAAGGATAGCCAGTCTTTCCCCAGGTGAAGTTACTTTTGATATCCCCACAGTCTAGTGACTAATCCTGGCATGGAAGCTGGTGGCTACTTCACGTGACCAACCAGGAAAGAGAGATCCTGCAGCAGCTAACTTGGTGATGCCCTAGATAAGCCTTCGAGATGAGACCCCCAGAAGAAGGAAGTTAGAACCAATGTGGTAATGGTTATGTGAAGTTTGCTTCTACATCTAGACTTGGAAGTTCAAGATCAGGTTGTACACCCCCTCTGTACAGCTACACAGTCATTATATCAAAGCATCTTGCCTTAAATACTCAGAGAATGTTGGTGGTTGATATACATGCATAAATGAACCAATTCACCCTCAAGAGGAGGTAATTACTTTCTCTAATGCAATGGCAAAATCTAAAGTTGGAACTCTTTCTATTTCTATAGTGCCTTACTTATCCTGAGTACTTTATAAATATTCTTTGAATGAATAAATGAATGAACTAATCTCATAGTAGAACTTTTCATTCAGAGCTTCTGACATCTGTTTTAAGATGTACTGCATAAAACATAAGATCTCTGCCATGAAGTTACCATACAACCTATCCTTCAGATTCTGAATTGCACATATGCTAGGTAGAATTATACTCTATGCACCTAACACAAGGAGACACTCTTCAGGTATATTTTCTTTCTAGATGCATCTTCTTCCTACCATTGGTAAGCCTTAATTCCACCATTTATAGGGACAAAGACAGAAAGTTAAGTTTTCCACCCACCTTTCCTCTAAGTCCTCACACATTCCATGTTAGGGTTCTCCACTGTCTGATATCCTAAAAGCTTTGTTTCAGTGGAAGGAGTTAGCAGGAAAATTATTTAGTCAGGTAAACCAATGCCTCTCTCATACTGATGGACTCAAGCAGAAATTGCTTTAGAAAGTCTCCAAAAATGACAATACTTTGACTCTAGCTGTAGCAGCAGTTCAAGTTGAAAAAATCCCTTATGAATTTAGTTCTGCTTTGACAAGTCATTTAATGAAATCTTGAAAACCATATGCAAGAATATTGCAAACTATAAGTTAAAGTTTTCTAAAACAAAAGAAAGTTAAAAGGTTTCTATTCAATACTTGCATGCTATATATAATTTTCACCACAGCTGCATCCGTTTGGGTAGAAACCATTAATCCACTGCCCAGTCAACTTTAGTCAGACTTCTTAAATCTAATATGACTGAATTTTGTCCTTCTTTTAGCCATTTTCTGTTCTTTTGACAGTTTATAAAGAAACTAAAATTATCACAGTGCCTCCCAAGTATAATTGTTCTGGTTGTAATAAGGCTAAGTAGAGATACTAGAGCTTGGCCTTCTTTATTAAAACAACAGATTTCACTGCCAGAGTTATGCACCCTGATTACTCATTCACTTTATATGCGTTTGAGGGTTTCTGAATTTGCAATTAGCCCAATGACCAGTCTTGATTACTAGGGGAGTGGAATTAGGCTTACAATAAAGCAAAACCTGCCCTCTTGTGTTTTATTAGAAAATTGCACAATATAGTAAAGTTCTTAAAGCGATTTTCCCCTACCATGGTTGATTGCCTACCCATAGTGGAAAAAAAGGCGGGAAGATTTGCCATGAATTCAGAAATCAAAACAGATAAGGTACAATATTTAGAAAGAATAGTTTCCTTCATAGGTTCTCACAGTTCCCCTTTTAATCTATTTTGAAATATTAAATGTTTACCAGTAAGCCAGAAAAGTTTGGGGGAACATTTCAGGCCACTGGGCAAAACGCTTTTAGGTGTGGCAAACACACACAGAATATAATTTAGTTAAATATTATTTACATGATCAGGTTTCAGCTGGAAATTGGGGGAACTTATTTTTTCTGTTAAAAACTGTCATCAAGAAGAAAAATTTGGGAAAAGTTTGTAAAACAAATGTTGATCAATGTATTAAAACTACTATAAGGACACATGTACACGAATGTTCATTGCAGCACTGTTTACAATAGCAAAGACCTGGAATCAACCCAAATGCCCATTGATAATAGACTGGATTGGAAAAATGTGGCACATATACAACATGGAATATTATGCAGCAATCAGAAATGATGAGTTCGTGTTGTTTGTAGGGACATGGATGAATCTGGAGAACATCATCCTCAGCGAACTGACACAAGAACAGAAAATGAAACACCGCATATTCTCACTCATAGGTGGGTGATGAAAAATGAGAACACATGGACACAGAAAGGGGAGTACTAAACACTGGGGTCTATTGGGGGGAAAAGGGGAGGGCCAGTGGGAGGGGGAGGTGGGGAGGGATAGCCTGGGGAGAAATGCCAAATGTGGGTGAAGGGGAGAAGAAAAGCAAAGCACACTGCCATGTGTGTACCTACGCAACTGTCTTGCATGCTCTGCTCATGTACCCCAAAACCTATAATCCAATAAAAAATTAAAAAAAAAAAAAAACTATGTATAGGCCTGGCGCGGTGGCTCACGCCTATAATCCCAGCACTTTGGGAGGCCGAAGTGGGTGGATCACGAGGTCAAGAGCTCGAGACCATCCTGGTCAACATGGTGAAACCCCGTCTCTACTAAAAATACAAACGTTAGCTGGGCATGGTGGCGCGTGCCTGTAATCCCAGCTACTCAGGAGGCTGAGGCAGGAGAATTGCCTGAACCCAGGAGGCGGAGGTTGCGGTGAGCCGAGATTGTGCCATTGCACTCCAGTATGGGTAACAACAGTGAAACTCCATCTCAAATAAATAAATAAAATAAAACTACGTATAAATATTTGAACTCAGGTGTGGGTGTGAGCAGTGTCTAAAGATGTCCTTTAGTGTGGAAAATTTGCTTTTCAAAACTATAAACCCATGGCGGCTTTACATTACGTGATTGAAAAAGAAACTCAAATGATAAAGGAAACAGGGTCTCTTTCTAGTTTTTGTAAATCTTTCCCTTCTAGGGAAATACACAGGTAAAGATTAAAGAGAAAAACTTGCACATGTCATTTATTTGCTTATTCTGGATAGTTTTGTTTGTCAGAAAATTGGGGCTCCAATTTTACATCTATGTCCATCTGCTATTATTTTCTGGTTGTTCTCTCTGGAAGAATATTATAGACCTGATGATAGTCGCTGTTTTTATGGAGAGAAAGGAAAGGGAAAAACGTAAGTGAAGAAATTGAAGAGTTTTATTTGAAGCACATCAAATGAAGGCAGAAGATGAAGTCTCCCCTTGAGAAGAACCATTAGCTTACTTCCTACGGATACATTATATAGCACACTTTACTGAAGATCTATTTTCCAATGCAGTAAACATATTATCATTAAAAAAAATTTTTTTTTTTTTTTTTTGAAACAGAGTCTCACTCTGTTGTCCAGGCTGGAGTGCAGTGGTGCAATCTTGACTCCCTGCAGCCTCCACCTCCTGGGTTCAAGCAATTTTTCAGCTTCAGCCTCCTGAGTAGCTGGGACTACAGGCATGCACCACCATGCTGGGCTAACTTTTGTATTTTAAGTAGAGATGGGGTTTTGCCATGTTGGTCAGGCTGGTGACCAACTCCCGACCTTAGATGACCCACCTGCCTCGACCTCTCAAAGTGCTGGAAATACAGGTTTGAGCCACCGTGCTCAGCCCACATATTATTATTTAATGTACTACTTAAGGTTTCGTTTCCAGTATTTTGATTTGCTTTTTCAAATAGCAAGCTTTGTCTTGATTATTGCCACTACTCAGTTTTTCCTAATTAAAATTATTTTTGTATTTTGAGTCTTGCATTTCTCATCAAGGAGGTGTGTACAGCAGAAAAATATATGTGTCTGTGCGCTAAATAAATAAGTCATTAGACTTATTTATATGAGCAAATGACTGGTCTTGAAAACAGAAACGTCATCTCTGTAATTATCCGTGCAGTTAGCTATCACTTCTTTTTCTCTTCTCCAACTGTGGCAAGCACACAATTTTCAGCGTTTCCTAGCTTGAAAAGTCTGATTTGAGCTGCCCCCTTTCTTTTCATTTTAGGCATTTTACAATTCCGAGACACGTAGCATTTTTATAAACTCAAGGTCGCATATCTCTTCTCCTTACTGATGTCCTCTTGTCAAGATGCACGCTTCTTTGTGTTTTTAACTTTTTTACTTGAGATATTTCCAACTCTTTGATCCCGTGCTGACTTTAAATCGTTTGCTGTCAGCTACCCCGAGTGCAGATCTGGTGCGTCGCTGCTGCCGCTCAGTTTGCGGAGCTCTTGACAGCATTATCAGGCCTTTCCAAGAATCAAAGGGCTCTTGCAATCCAGTAACATGCAAATTTGTTCTTTATCTGCTTCGATGTGTCACAGCGCACATTTTGCAACTTAGCGGCACAAAAGCAGGATGGATAAAATCCTTCTGAAGTTGACGGTGTGAGTAATGGGTGTAAATTCATTGTTTTTAAGCAACAGCTACTCACAACATGCAATTATGGTGAACTCACCTTGCAACTAGACAGCTGCCTTAGACCTGGGTTTCCCCTTGCTAGAGAGATGATAGAATTGAGTGGCTTTTATCCCAGGGTACTCCACTCACCTTTGATGTAGTTGTCAGCAGGTAACCCCCCTGCTGCTCTCTGGGTTTGCCCGAGCTTCTGGGTGTCTGCTAACTACACAGTCCCAGGAGAAAACAAAGCCTCCTCTAGGTGGGGCAGCTCCTTTCCTGTTTGTGTCTGTCAGCTTTCCCGACAGAACTTGTTCCTTTCTTCTGAACACTAAAAATGCCGCAAGAAAATATTAATATCAAAGTTGGAACCACCAATAAGTGACCTGACTTCCCTGC